CTGGATGTGCATCCCACAAATCTCCATCAACTGCAAGATGCTATCCTATCAATATGGGCCAACATTTCTAAAGAATGCTTTCAGCACCTTGTTGAATCAATGCCACGTAGAATTAAGGCAGTTCTGAAGGCGAAAGGGGGTCAAACACAGTATTAGTATGGTGTTCCTAATAATCCTTTAGGTGAGTGTATATATATAATGGCAGTGAATGGCCGGTTTCTGTTTTGAAGTCCATAAAAGTGCATCTATCCATCATAAAAATGCATGAAGCTAGAATAAAATGGTTCAGATATTCATACAATAAAATAATCTGGGTGCCATGAAAGTTTTGTGAATATGATCAAAAATGCTGGCGGGGAAAGGGTTAAGATGGCGTTTACACCTGGTCTCTTCACGATCGGAGAGCTATCAGATCATAGAAACACATGAAGTGGCCAGGCTTTATAAACAGGCTATATGTACATGTGCTATATAAATAAAACTGAGCTTGAGCTTGTGGTTTTCTCCAGGTCACCAGAACAACATCCACTGTTTGGCGACTGCAGTGAATCATCTGGCGGCCGCCATGTTCACCGTCCAGAGGAAGAACATACAAACACAACTCCAGGAGTTCCTGAAGGTGAAACACACACACACACACACACACACACACACACACACACACACACACACACACACACACACACACACACACACACACACACACTCATCTTACACTGCTTCACGTCACTCAGAACATCTCATCAGTAATGTGTGTGTGTGTGTGTAGGTGGCGTCCTCCATCTTACTCCAGCTTGGTCAGAATGTGGAGCGAGTGGAAATAAAGAACAGAGACTCAGTTTATCTCATTCTTCACATGGTAACGAAGGATTAATATGGAGGATTAATATGAGCTCAGGATCTATAAATGCTTTATGAACAAAGTGTTTTCTCTTGTGTGTGTTGTAGATCGTGGATCAGTCGCCGTTCTTGAGTCAAGACATGCTGGAGATGTGTTTCCCGTACGTTCTCCTGAGAAACGCTTACAGAGAAGTTCACAAGACCTTCGTCCACACTATGGGCTGATCTCAGACCAGCACTGATTCTGGAGCTTATCTTTTTTAAAATAAAAATGTAAATAACTGTTTTCAACATTGATAATAATCATAAATGTTTCTTGATCATCAGATCCTCATATTAGAGTGATTTCTGAAGGATCATGTGACACTGAAGACTGGAGTAATGATGCTGAAAATACAGCTTTGATCACAGGAATAAATTACACTTTACTGTATATTCACCTAGAAAACAGCTGATTTACACTGGAATAATATTTCACAATATTACTATTTTTTGTGTATTTTTAATCAAATAAATGCAGCCTTGGTGAGTAGAAGAGACTTCTTTTAGAAACATTAAAAATCGTACTGATTCAAAACGTTTGACTGGTAGTGTAGTTTAACATATTAAACTGATATGCACCTGCTTTGATTTAGATAATGGATGCTTGTGTTAAAGTCCCCCTGTAGTCAATCATTTTATCTTTTAAAACTCATCTTTGACCACCAAAATTACATATTTAAACTTTTTTTTTTCCTTCATGTCTAAAAATATCTTGAATGTAACTCGACACCCTCACCTCATTTAGTATGCGCGGTTCTATGAATATGCAAATGAGCCCCGCCTCCACTCACTCACTCACTCAGAGATCCACTGGTTGATGATCACACGTTGATCTGATTGGTTACAAGGTCGTTTGTGACGTCAGAAACACCAGCGATTTCAAACCGTGTTTTTGAGACTGTCTTTGGTTCACTGCAGTTTTAAGCAGAAAATACTCAGCAATGCTGTCGACTTATGAACTTACACATAGTGTGTCTTAAAGCGTATTAAACACCATAGACACATAAACAACATTAAAAGCTGGATTTTCACCACAGGACTTTCTATTGGACGTATGAAATTTGCTGAAAATACCGCTGCATGTAATACTTTTTTCACTGTTTGCTTTTTCTTGTGTCTAATTACAACTTGAGATCCACTAGAAAAGGATGTATTTTTCTCTGTTTTAATTATGTTGTCATGATGATTAATAAATGAAAGTTGTATTTTTATCATTCTCACAAATTCACTGATCACCATTATTTGCACAGAAAAACTCGAAGCTTCTCAACACTGACTGTGATTGTGCTGTACATTCCATATTTGTGTTTTCAAATTAACGTTAAAATGCTGTCAAATAAAAAGGCAACATAAGCATACCATAAGTTTGTGTCAGTTTTATGTGCAGTATTCATGCAATTACATGAATATATTTTAAAGGAGGGGGGGGGGGTGGGGGGGGGGGGGGGGGGGGGTATAATGCCCTTTTCACAAGATGTAAAATAAGTCTCTGAAGTCCCCAGAGTGTGTGTGTGAAGTTTAGCTCAAAATACCCCACAGATATTTTTATATAGCATGTTAAAATTGTCACTTTTGAGCAAACGCACCATTTTGTGTGTCCCTTTAAATGCAAATGAGCTGCTGCTCCCGGCGCAGGGGGCGGAGCTACAACAGCTTGTGTTCTTTTAACACACACACACACAGATCAGTGAAAACGGCTGAAAGCGCAGTGTTCTGCTGTCAGGCCAGTAGGTGGCGATGTCACTGTGTGGAGAAACACTACACACCTGTAGACTGAACGCGTAACACATAATCTCACTGTCTTCACAGATTCGTGGTTTTGTAGTTTACAGAGACGATAACGGTATAGATGTTATTCGATCTGCGTCATCAATGTTTGCGGCGGCCATATTGTTGACATAGAAACTACGGCAACTGTCAGTCTGTCAATTGACAAGCGAGGCAGCGTCGGTATTATCCATGGTATTATCACTGTATTTTTTTTTTAAACAGCGTGATGGTGTGTTGTGTAATACACGTCTGTTCTAACAACAGCAGTAAGAACCCCGGAGTTAGTTTTTATGATTGCGATAAATTACCGACTGTCAGAAAACGTGAAGGGAAGGAGACAGAGTTGAGCCAGCGCAGGAGAGGCTAGCTAGGATAAATAGGCTAAACTTTCAGCCAACTCCCCACAGAAAAGTCTGTTCCCATCATTTTACCACAGGTTTCACACATAATACGCGTCTGTACCACAAACACCCCGGTACTCACTATTTTTATTTTAACATACTATTTCAACAACGTAAGCCAATTATTCCATGCATTACTTATATACACTCACCGGCCACTTTATTAGGTACCCCATGCTAGTAACGGGTTGGACCCCCTTTTGCCTTCAGAACTGCCTCAATTCTTCGTGGCATAGATTCAACAAGGTGCTGGAAGCATTCCTCAGGGAGTTTGGTCCATATTGACATGATGGCATCACACAGTTGCCGCAGATTTGTCGGCTGCACATCCATGATGCGAATCTCCCGTTCCACCACATCCAAAGATGCTCTATTGGGTTGAGATCTGGTGACTGTGGAGGCCATTTTAGTACAGTGAACTCATTGTCATGTTCAAGAAACCAATTTGAAATGATTAGAGCTTTGTGACATGGTGGAAGTAGCCATCAGAGGATGGGTACATGGTGGCCATAAAGGGATGGACATGGTCAGAAACAATGCTCAGGTAGGCCGTGGCATTTAAACGATGCCCAATTGGCACTAAGGGGCCTAAAGTGTGCCAGGAAAACATCCCCCACACCATTACACCACCACCACCAGCCTGCACAGTGGTAACAAGGCATGATGGTTCCATGTTCTCATTCTGTTTACGCCAAATTCTGACTCTAACATCTGAATGTCTCAACAGAAATCGAGACTCATCAGACCAGGCAACATTTTTCCAGTCTTCAACTGTTCAATTTTGGTGAGCTCTTGCAAATTGTAGCCTCTTTTTCCTATTTGTAGTGGAGATGAGTGGTACCCGGTGGAGTCTTCTGCTGTTGTAGCCCATCCGCCTCAAGGTTGTGCGTGTTGTGGCTTCACAAATGCTTTGCTGGATACCTCGGTTGTAACGAGTGGTTATTTCAGTCACTGTTGCCCTTCTATCAGCTCGAACCAGTCTGGCCATTCTCCTCTGACCTCTGGCATCAACAAGGCATTTCCGCCCACAGAACTGCCGCTCACTGGATGTTTTTTCTTTTTCGGACCATTCTCTGTAAACCCTAGAGATGGTTGTGCGTGAAAATCCCAGTAGATTAGCAGTTTCTGAAATACTCAGACCAGCCCTTCTGGCACCAACAATCATGCCACGTTCAAAGTCACTCAAATCAACTTTCTTCCCCATACTGATGCTCGGTTTGAACTGCAGGAGATTGTCTTGACCATGTCTACATGCCTAAATGCACTGAGTTGCCGCCATGTGATTGGCTGCTTAGAAATTAAGTGTTAACGAGCAGTTGGACAGGTGTACCTAATAAAGTGGCCGGTGAGTGTATATTAAGTTGCTCAAGCAAGTGGTCAAATATGTAACCATGTACTTATATTAAAATCGCAAACATTTTCAATGAAAACTTAAAATTGACAATACAACCGACTCTCATGCCTTTTCTTTTGCATTTACATTTTAATACAACAAATCTTGCATGTCACAAATAACTTGTTTTTCCACCTCCACGAATGAGACGAGTGTCGTTCATTATGTTGCCTTGTTGAAGTAAATTGTAGTTTGTATACGCATACTGTATGAACGAGATAGTTATAAATATCCGGATAAGTTACGGCTGGCAATAAGGACGGATCTTTGCCTAATGCTATTATTTGATGTGGGTCCACACCAATCAAGCTTATCTTCTCTTGATACCGACGAGATGAAGCCAGGCTACTGCTCCCCTCAACTCAAATCTGCACGCGGCTAGGGGCAGCAGAACAGATGTCATGTCAACAATATGGCCGCGGTTAGCTACTTCCGGTGTTTGCGAATAAGGTCTATTGTTTTCAAAGGTTTGTGTTTTCAGGCCCCAAAATGTCATTGTTGAGTAAATGAACGGCCAAAAAAACACATAAAAAGTTTTCTGTTTTTAGTTGAAAATGGTGTGATGTAAAAGGCTCCAAACTTCCCCTCCGCCATTTGAAAGTGCGTTCAACTCCGCCAAGTAGACAAGGGAAGTTTATTTGGACAGAGCCTCGACACCTTGATTTTGACAGAGTTAATTACTCAATGGCTGCGTTCCAGTCCAAAACTGCCATGCCCATCACTCGCTAATCGCCAACTTCCCTCCGTTCGCTCGCCAACTTCCCTCCGTTCGCTCGCCAACTTCCCTCCGCCTCGTTCTCTCGCCAACTTCCCTCCGCCTCGTTCGCTCGCCAACTTCCCTCCTCGTTCGCTCGCCAACTTCCCTCCGCCTCGTTCGCTCGCCAACTTCCCTCGCCAACTTCCCTCCGCCTCGTTCGCACGCCAACTTCCCTCCGCCTCGTTCGCTCGCCAACTTCCCTCCGCCTCGTTCGCTCGCCAACTTCCCTCCGCCCCGTTCTCTCGCCAACTTCCCTCAGCCTCGTTCGCTCGCCAACTTCCCTCCGCCTCGTTCGCTTCGCCAACTTCCCTCCGCCTCGTTCGCTCGCCAACTTCCCTCGCCAACTTCCCTCCGCCTCGTTCGCACGCCAACTTCCCTCCGCCTCGTTCTCCTCGCCAACTTCCCTCCGCCCCGTTCGCTCGCCAACTTCCCTCCGCCCCGTTCTCTCGCCAACTTCCCTCAGCCTCGTTCGCTCGCCAACTTCCCTCCGCCTCGTTCGCTCGCCAACTTCCCTCCGCCTCGTTCGCTCGCCAACTTCCCTCCGCCTCGTTCGCTCGCCAACTTCCCTCCGCCTCGTTCGCTCGCCAACTTCCCTCCGCCTCGTTCGCTCGCCAACTTCCCTCCGCCTCGTTCGCTCGCCAACTTCCCTCCGCCTCGTTCGCCTCGCCAACTTCCCTCCGCCTCGTTCTCTCGCCAACTTCCCTCCGCCTCGTTCGCACGCCAACTTCCCTCCGCCTCGTTCTCTCGCCAACTTCCCTCCGCCTCGTTCTCTCGCCAACTTCCCTCCGCCTCGTTCGCTCGCCAACTTCCCTCCGCCTCGTTCGCACGCCAACTTCCCTCCGCCTCGTTCTCTCGCCAACTTCCCTCCGCCTCGTTCGCGTCGCCAACTTCCCTCCGCCTCGTTCGCATCGCCAACTTCCCTCCGCCTCGTTCGCACGCCAACTTCCCTCCGCCTCGTTCGCACGCCAACTTCCCTCCGCCTCGTTCGCACGCCAACTTCCCTCCGCCTCGTTCGCACGCCAACTTCCCTCCGCCTCGTTCGCACGCCAACTTCCCTCCGCCTCGTTCGCACGCCAACTTCCCTCCGCCTCGTTCGCACGCCAACTTCCCTCCGCCTCGTTCGCACGCCAACTTCCCTCCGCCTCGTTCGCACGCCAACTTCCCTCCGCCTCGTTCGCACGCCAACTTCCCTCCGCCTCGTTCGCACGCCAACTTCCCTCCGCCTCGTTCGCACGCCAACTTCCCTCCGCCTCGTTCGCACGCCAACTTCCCTCCGCCTCGTTCGCACACGCCAACTTCCCTCCGCCTCGTTCGCTCGCCAACTTCCCTCCGCCTCGTTCGCTCCCCAACTTCCCTCCGCCTCGTTCGCTCGCCAACTTCCCTCCGCCTCGTTCGCTCCCCAACTTCCCTCCGCCTCGTTCGCTCGCCAACTTCCCTCCGCCTCGTTCGCACGCCAACTTCCCTCCGCCTCGTTCGCTCCCCAACTTCCCTCCGCCTCGTTCGCTCGCCAACTTCCCTCCGTCTCGTTCGCTCGCCAACTTCCCTCCGCCTCGTTCGCTCCCCAACTTCCCTCCGCCTCGTTCGCTCGCCAACTTCCCTCCGCCTCGTTCGCTCGCCAACTTCCCTCAGCCTCGTTCGCTCGCCAACTTCCCTCCGCCTCGTTCGCTCGCCAACTTCCCTCCGCCTCGTTCGCTCGCCAACTTCCCTCCGCCTCGTTCGCTCGCCAACTTCCCTCCGCCTCGTTCGCTCGCCAACTTCCCTCCGCCTCGTTCTCTCGCCAACTTCCCTCGCCTCGTTCTCCTCGCCAACTTCCCTCCGCCTCGTTCGCTCGCCAACTTCCCTCCGCCTCGTTCGCTCGCCAACTTCCCTCCGCCTCGTTCGCTCGCCAACTTCCCTCCGCCTCGTTCGCTCGCCAACTTCCCTCCGCCTCGTTCGCTCGCCAACTTCCCTCCGCCTCGTTCGCTCGCCAACTTCCCTCCGCCTCGTTCGCTCGCCAACTTCCCTCCGCCTCGTTCGCTTCGCCAACTTCCCTCCGCCTCGTTCGCTCGCCAACTTCCCTCGCCTCGTTCGCATCGCCAACTTCCCTCCGCCTCGTTCGCTCGCCAACTTCCCTCCGCCTCGTTCGCTCGCCAACTTCCCTCCGCCTCGTTCGCTCGCCAACTTCCCTCCGCCTCGTTCGCTCGCCAACTTCCCTCCGCCTCGTTCGCTCGCCCAACTTCCCTCCGCCTCGTTCGCTCGCCAACTTCCCTCCGCCTCGTTCGCTCGCCAACTTCCCTCCGCCTCGTTCGCTCGCCAACTTCCCTCCCGCCTCGTTCGCTCGCCAACTTCCCTCCGCCTCGTTCGCTCGCCAACTTCCCTCCGCCTCGTTCGCATCGCCAACTTCCCTCCGCCTCGTTCGCTTCGCCAACTTCCCTCCGTCTCGTTCGCTCGCCAACTTCCCTCCGCCTCGTTCGCTCACCAACTTCCCTCCGCCTCGTTCGCTCGCCAACTTCCCTCCGCCTCGTTCGCTCGCCAACTTCCCACTCCTCATTTACCCCTAGTCCACTTTAATATAAACGCTGGCAGGGAACGAGTTAAACAAAACAGCCATATCTTGAACTTTCGTCTTGTGCACACAGGCACTATATGAACCATAACCTACCCGATGAAATATGTTTCTGGTTGCTACATGTAAAATTCAAACATCTGCTAATATGACAAATATTAAATCTAATTCACTTTATGAAATAAAAGAATTGAAAGACAGCAGAGTTGAACTCGCTAGATGTAACCTCGGCAGGAGAAGGGTTAATACATCACTCACGTGAACACACATGCAATCGGTGGCATCCTTTATTGACTCAAGATGCACAATATTCATGAATAAAATTAAAAAAATCTCATCTGTGATCTCAATGATAAATGCAATGGTAGCCTTGAATCTAAATAAAATTGGCATTAACAGCAGCTACAAAACTCTAGTCTGACATTGGCAATAAAGAAAAAGAATGAATGAAATAATGCAATAAGCACAGAAAGCAGTTCAGCGAGCACAACCATGTTACGGTATTAATGATGTGATATTGTTCAGAGCGTGGGTAAGAAAGTCACTTCCTATTGTGTACAATATTAAATCAGATCATCGTTTAGAATGTTTCATGAGATTCGTTTCCCCAGAACTATAAATCCTGCAGCGAGTCGAAGAAATTAAGCTTTTAAATAAGACTTCAAAATCTACAGTCAATCCACATTAGCTCACTATCCTGACAACATATTCAAAGCCCAGAAACAATTCTCAAAAATAAAGTTAAGACACCATATCAAATCACATTAAATGTAATCAAACTAATCAGATTCAGGATGAAGCCGCTGCCGTGTTCAGCTCACAGATGTCCCGCTCTCCGGAGATCACTTCTTCTCCTTCTTCTTTTCCTACAGAACGAACAGAATAAAGTCAGTCTGGAATAGAGTCGATGAAGCAACGGCGCTGATGGAGCGTTATGATGTCAGAAATACCTTCTCGTTCATAGAGAGGATGATGACAAGCTTTCTGAAGATGGTCACGAAGTCCAGGAAGAGGTCCACACAATGCCTTCGTTCACAGAACACAAACACAAGCTTACAAACAGAGTCATACTCAATCCCGTTCCTTCCTTTCTCATATGTACAACTTTATTGTGGTTGCTTCATTAAACAATGGATTTGGTTTCTTTTAGATACAATTTTACTCTTAATACTAATATAAACTGGGGATGCGCTTCTCTTGTCCTTCATTCATCAGTTTAGGTGGAGGCAGGGCATTCATCGGCTCATGCTGGATACCAGTTTAAACTTTGGCATCTATACTGACCCAGTTTACACACACACATGACACAGTGTGTGCATAAAGCGTGCAGTAAACATGAACATCTTGTAAAGATTAAAGGCCACGACACACTCCGGCTGGTGAACTCCCATTGGTCAGTGGTGATGATGTAATATGTGGGTGTGTCTCTGAGGCTCCGCCTCCTTCGAGGTCTAAATCTTCTCCTGTTCAGGGGGTCGAGGTTCAGACGCGAGTAACACGAGACCCTGAGAGACGCTTTATAGCAGGAACTGAAGCGGAGAGACTGACACTGTCTGGAGCTCGTCGTCATGTTTGAACGAAACTTTTTACGCTTTGTTTTTTTAGAATTTTTCTTCTTAATGGGAATGGTCCGAAACTTAGTAAAGGTTTTGGCACTTGCTGTGTGAACACACACAAATCATGGCCATGATCTGAACCGGTTGAATGGTTCTGAACAACAGTCCCACTTGTGCTCCTCGCGGTGAGAAACGAGCGCACTGGAAACGAATGGAGTTTCCTCTAGTGGAAGCGTGTGGAACTGCAGCCGAACACACTCTCACTGAACATGCGGAACACACTGGTGTAGATTTATGGCTTTGATTTTCTCATAGTTTTAGAGTAAAACGTGTTTTTGAAAATATAGATTTCATATCAATTTAAAAGAGTATTTTTGTGCATTTTTCATGACAATAAACGTAAAATTCTGTAACTTTTTACTTCATCAATAATCTGCCAAGTGTTGTCTCTGAAAGGAGATCGAACTGAAGTCTGTGCAAAGCATTAAAGCATTCAAAATTGACCAGTTTAAGTCGGAAATTATTTTTTTAGGTCTATAATCAAAGTAAATGAATGGATTATAAATACAGCGTAAGCGTAATTTATTGCCATAAAAATACAAAATATTAAATTAAAAACATTATCAAACTAAAGTATAGTACATTCCTTACATTGAAAAAAATAATAATAATACTTCAGTCATGTTTGACCGACACACGAGGAGCTCCAGCTCTGACTTAAGAAAAAGAAGAGTCCATAGAGCCTGTACTAATATTACTTTGAAAAATGATTTGCTGAACCCATAGATTAAAAAATAATTTCAAACTGAATCAGGCACAAAGCTCTCTCTTTCATAACTTAGCATAAATCACCACTTTTAATTTTAAGCACACGTCATATCTGCCATTATATGAAAACAATTATTGGTAACATTTTACAATAAGGTTCATTAGTTAACATTAGTATTAACTAACATGAACTAACAATGAGCAATGCATTTGTTACAGTATTTATTCATCTTTATTAATGTTAGTTAATAAAAATACAGCTGTTCATTGTTTGTTCATGTTAGTTCACACAGTGCATTAACTTAAGTTAACTAATACAACCTTTGATTTTAATAACGTATTAGTAAATGTTGTAATTAATATTAACTAAGATTAATAAATGCTGAAGTATTGTTCATTCTTAGCTCTTATGAACCTTATTGAAAAGTGTTAGCATTATTAAAGCTGTCCGCTCACCAGATGTAGTCTTTGTCTCCCATCTCTGCCTTCTCGATGATGAGCTGAGTGTCGAACAGCACAAACCCACACATGACGACCAGACCCAGATACAGATGAGCCTGAAACACAGCACACTGTTACACACACACACACACACACTGCTCCCTTCATACGGTCACTCACGCACCTTAAAGACTAAAGCTGAGGCGAAGAACATGTTGAGGACGGAGACGAGCAGGAGAACGGTCAGGGCTGACATCAGAGTGCCTAGAAGAGCAGGAGAGCACAGGTGAGATCCACAGAACCGCGCGTGTGTGTGTGTGTGTGATCAGCACAGGTGTAGTGTTCACCTCCCAGGAACAGGTAACTCCTGCGCTGGCGTGTGTGTGTGTGTGTGTGTGTGTGTGTGTGTGTGTGTGTGTGTGTGTGATCAGCACAGGTGTAGTGTTCACCTCCCAGGAACAGGTAACTCCAGCGCTGGCGTGTGTGTGTGTGTGTGTGTGTGTGTGTGTGTGTGTGTGTGTGTGTGTGTGTGTGTGAGAGAGATCAGCACAGGTGTAGTGTTCACCTCCCAGGAACAGGTAACTCCTGCGCTGGCGTGTGTGTGTGTGTGTGTGTGTGTGATCAGCACAGGTGTAGTGTTCACCTCCCAGGAACAGGTAACTCCTGCGCTGGCGTGTGTGTGTGTGTGTGTGTGTGTGTGTGTGTGTGTGTGTGTGTGAGATCAGCACAGGTGTAGTGTTCACCTCCCAGGAACAGGTAACTCCTGCGCTGGCGTGTGTGTGTGTGTGTGTGTGTGTGATCAGCACAGGTGTAGTGTTCACCTCCCAGGAACAGGTAACTCCTGCGCTGGCGTGTGTGTGTGTGTGTGTGTGTGTGTGTGTGTGTGTGTGTGTGTGTGTGTGTGTGTGTGTGTGAGATCAGCACAGGTGTAGTGTTCACCTCCCAGGAACAGGTAACTCCTGCGCTGGCGTGTGTGTGTGTGTGTGTGTGTGTGTGTGTGTGTGAGATCAGCACAGGTGTAGTGTTCACCTCCCAGGAGCAGGTAACTCCTGCGCTGGCGTGTGTGTGTGTGTGTGTGTGTGTGTGTGTGTGTGTGTGTGTGTGTGTGTGTGTGTGTGTGTGTGTGTGTGAGATCAGCACAGGTGTAGTGTTCACCTCCCAGGAACAGGTAACTCCTGCGCTGGCGTGTGTGTGTGTGTGTGTGTGTGTGTGTGTGTGTGTGATCAGCACAGGTGTAGTGTTCACCTCCCAGGAGCAGGTAACTCCTGCGCTGGCGTGTGTGTGTGTGTGTGTGTGTGTGTGTGTGTGTGTGTGTGTGTGTGTGTGTGTGTGTGTGTGTGCGTGTGTGGCCTGGTAAACCCTACGTTATGGGGACAAAATGTCCCCACAAGGATGGCAATATCCGAAATCCTTGTTCGTGTGGGGACATTTTTTGGTCCCCATGAGGAAATCAGCTTATAAATCACACTAAGTGATGTTGTTTGAAAATGTAAAAATGCAGAATGTTTCCTGTGATGGGTAGGTTTAGGGATAGGGTTAGTGTAAGGGAATATAATATACAGTCTGTACAGTATAAAAATCATTATGTCTATGGAAAGTCCCCATAAAACATGAAAACACAACATGTGTGTGTGTGTGTGTGTGTGAGATCAGCACAGGTGTAGTGTTCACCTCCCAGGAGCAGGTAACTCCTGCGCTGGCGTGTGTGTGTGTGTGTGTGTGTGTGTGTGTGTGTGTGTGTGTGTGTGTGTGAGATCAGCACAGGTGTAGTGTTCACCTCCCAGGAACAGGTAACTCCTGCGCTGGCGTGTGTGTGTGTGTGTGTGTGTGTGTGTGTGTGTGTGTGTGATCAGCACAGGTGTAGTGTTCACCTCCCAGGAACAGGTAACTCCAGCGCTGGCGTGTGTGTGTGTGTGTGTGTGTGTGTGTGTGTGTGTGTGAGATCAGCACAGGTGTAGTGTTCACCTCCCAGGAACAGGTAACTCCTGCGCTGGCGTGTGTGTGTGTGTGTGAGAGATCAGCACAGGTGTAGTGTTCACCTCCCAGGAACAGGTAACTCCTGCGCTGGCGTGTGTGTGTGTGTGTGTGTGTGTGTGTGTGTGTGTGTGTGATCAGCACAGGTGTAGTGTTCACCTCCCAGGAACAGGTAACTCCAGCGCTGGCGTGTGTGTGTGTGTGTGTGTGTGTGTGTGTGTGTGTGTGTGTGTGTGTGTGTGTGTGTGTGTGTGTGTGTGTGTGTG